TCTGGACTTTCAGATGATACTTTGTCATAACACGAATAAAAATAGTCATAAAACTTTTCTAAGTTTACTCGATCAATTGAGGGAGGAAGGTATACACAAGCAACAGCAATTCTCGAAATTGTTCGTGGAAGCCACTTTGGACGCAGAATTAGCCACTGACATTCAAAGCTCGAGTCAGAGAGATCATCACGAGTTCTTATTGAAAACTCTTTACGGACATAGATTCCACAGCCCCCTCCAGAACCGATTTTCCTATCCTTGCGTATCAAAGTAAATTGTGGGATGTTAACAACTTCACTGGGTATATTGTCCGCTAGCCATGTCTCCGTGACAATGATGATTTCAGCTTTATGCTCGTTTGAATAATATTTTAATTCATCAATTTTCCCCATAATTGATCTCGCATTTACGAGAAGCACATTCGGTAAGGTTCGGGCGGTTGGGTGATATGATGGACTCTCTTTTTTAAGGTAGATCAGGTTTCTAATCACAGGGTTAGATTTTTGTTTGTAGTACTGATAGGGACGCTCGTCACTTCGGCTTGTAGTAATTACGGGTATTGAAAAACAATTGGTTGCATTAGTGGTGGGTGCTACATTGACAATATCTTTCGGACCAGCTTTAAGTGGTCTAGCCATTCCAATGAGCGCGGCGGGGGCCTCTGGTTCGTTTGGCGCCGCCGAAAATGATATTGTGATTCTTTAATAGAATACTTAGAACAAGATGTTAAATGAGACGCCACACAATCACCTTGTTTTCCTGAAAGTGATCTTACCGGGTCACTTTTCTTTCTTGAAAGTGATTTGTAAGGAACTTCAATAAAGGGCAAAAAATTTAACCATGCATTGGATTGCCGGGGTTTCATGACTTGCTCTACTTTACTTGTGTCCACAGTTCTTGTATTACTGGGCCTTGCTATTTCTTCAATATACGTATCAGTTCGCATACAATAATTGTTGCATAAATTACCTAACGATTTTGCTCGATCCACTGGACTAGCCTCATTTATTACACTGTCATCTGCTTTGTCTAAACTTACGTGTAGATCACAGTTAACCAAATTGGGAGCAGACGCCAAAGGATCATTGACATTATTATCGCTTGGATAAATAATTTGCAAGTCAGATTTTACATTACCCAGCATAATTGGTTCCACTGGGATAGCTTCGGTTATTGTTGTTGGCTTGAATTGATCGATGCTTTGTGTTTCTGATTTATTGTTTTCCAAATCTGATGTAGCGTTATCATTTTCTGGTGGGGACACGCTTTGAGGAATTTCATTGTTTATTTCAGCCTGCATAAAAACGGGGAGAGCTTGTTCGCGACTAACCATACTGTTCTCTGACAAAATGGAGGTTTTACTTAAATTAGCCTCCAGATAGTGTTCTTTTTTCGATTTGCATGTATTCACGGCACTTTCTTTTGAATTCGAACCTGGTTTTTGTGTATAGAAGTCCGTCGGCTGTCGGACAGGATTAGATAGCTCGACAGAGGCGCTATAGAAAGACTTGTCAATAAAGGCCTCAAGTTCCTTTATAGTAGAATTATTTGGACTTAGAAGCATATCATCAGATTTGGATGCATCGCCCAAGACATCAGTTTCAATGTCACATAGATCGTTAATTTTAGACAGGTTGATTAAATCCTCAATATTATTCATTTGACACATCAAGGGCTGCATTGGCGGCGATGCAGTCTTACTTTTATTGTCAACATGCTTTGTTGGTGAATTCTTAAGATTTAATGAGTTTCTTTCATTTTCAATTTCTGACAAATTCGCTTGAAGCTGTTTGATAGTGATATCTCGCTCGTTTATCGCTGTTTTTCTCGTCTAAAATTATGGAAAACTCCTTAAGCAAGGTCTCCATTCTGGTGTCGTACGATATTTGACGGTTTTCGGTAGAGTCCAAAACCTTACTAATAGATTCTATAATCGCATTGGTAGAGTTAATAACATTGTTTATAGATGTTATTTGTTTTTGCATAACTGTTATGTCCGCTTTAACCCCTTTCATATCGTTGGTAAAAGTATTGTACGACCAACTGCGATGTTTCAACGGGGTCGATTCAGTAACTGCCGGGTTATTGTTAGCGATAATTTCGCATGTTTTAACTGGAGATATCTCGGCAGTCTCTGTTTCAGATGCCGAATCCGCTATGTTGGTCATAAAATCAGTGTCCGTATCCGTGGTTGTTTGGCCAATACAAGCTATATCTAAGACACTCACCAGATAATTCTTGAGCAGATCACCATCCTTTCCTTGGAATAATAGCGAATTCTGTTTGCCCGGGTACCACGTCGCGATCAGATCAAAATTTACGCTGGTAAACCTCTTAGCTTTACCACCAGGTGATGACCAATTGCCTCGTAGGCCGACAATATTTTCAACGAAATTCTTTAGTGATTGAAGATCCTGCGACCATTTAATTCGGGTTCCGTCATACGTTAAGTGACCACAATCTTTCAAAGACCTAATAATGTCTACGTCAAGGTTCAGAGACGTCAAATTTCCAATTTTTGTAGAGCTCGAAAAGTCGTTACCGGCGGCCATTTTGCTGCTGTTTAATTATATACACAAGGTCTGAATTCACAGACTTTGCTTTTCGAATATTTTCAATAATTTTCTATTTTGTTTATGTTTTTATTTTCGCTCTTTCGGCCGATTATTTTCTCAAAAATATATATTTTTAACCATTTTAAATTTTAAAAATTTATTTGCTAACCTGAAAACAATTTGTGGGAGTTTTCATTGTGTTTTTAATCCTGTGAAGGCTATAAAAAGCGACAACTTGCCGTTTTCTCGTTTGCAAAACATCGTAAATTCAGTTTGGCCGCCATTTTGTGTTTCTCTGCTAGCAGGATATGAGCTAATATCCTGCTAGTAGAGAACCAATCAGATTGCAGAATACCTCATATCCAGACCTTGTGTATATAATAAATATATATATATATATATATATATATATATATATATATATATATATATATATATATATATATATATATATATATATATATATATATATAGAGGATATTAGACAATTGCGAAGAGATATGGATTTTATGTTCGAGTGGCAAAAACAATATCTCACGAGTGAGCGCAGCGAACGAGTGAGATTGTTTTTGACACGAGAACATAAATCCATATTTTCTCGCAACCGTTTGATGTTCTGTTTATTATATGGACTTACTCAGAGTGACAAAATACACACAAAGACGACATGTAAATAAGCACGCGAAAGACCAGTATAAATCGATATTTTTTAAAATTATTGTGCAAACATAAAACCAGAATAAATTTTACTTATCTCAAGATGTCTTTTAAATGTTTTCGTTTTATTTCCAACGTTAATTTCGTTTTAAATACGAACCAAAGACCATTTGTATTGTCAAAACAAGAACAATAAAAATGGCGGGAAATTTTCGAACTTCGTATGTCACTAGCAGGGGTGAAATACGGAAACTACGCGCACCTGGTCCCGGATGTAGTGACGTATGAGTTCTACGAGTGTTTTAGTTTCCAGTAAAACACCATTGTCCATATAATAAATATATAAATATATATATATATATATATATATATATATATATATATATATATATATATATATATATATATATATATATATATATATATATATATATACACCCCACACATCTGAAGATAATTTAATAAAACCTAAACCTATTTACGATAAAAGTTACTCGAGTTTCACGCACAAAGGT